GGATTGTTAGAAAAATTTAGAGATTTTATTCCGAAAAAAAAGAAGCTGTTTACTTTACTTAATATAAAGATAGAAAATTGACGCAGTTCTTGAATAGTAACCTCTTGTGGTAGCGTAAAAAATACGATATTTTTTATTAAAAATTAATATTGGAAGTGTACTTGTCTTTGGTATTTACATCCGTTTTTGCTATAAAAAGTAAAATAAAAAAATCAAACTAATACGTAGATATTGATTTATCTTTAAATATTGACTATTCACCATTACAACTGATATTGTCGGACTTCATTTAGCAAATATGATTAATCAGATTTCATGTACCTAAAATGGGAAAGCTTTTGGATTCTGCAAATCTAGTCGTACATTTCATGTTTGCAGAATTTGATCAAACATTTTATCCATATCCAATTAATGTTTTATGTACAATGTACATATTGACTATCTATTTGATTCTGGGAAATAATTTTCAAAAGTCAATTCATTATATTATTTAATAAAATTCATTTTACTTTGATTAAAATATATAGGTAAACAGTTATTCATTATTATTTAACGATAACAAAAATGGTAACGATAAAACAGTATAAAAATAATAAAATTGTTAATTTTTGTCTCTATTTGAAAAGATCATTGTGGATCATAATAAAATTTGTTGTTTATTTCACTGCTCATCCTGCAATTTAAACTCGAATATTTTATGAAAAATTATTATAAAAACTATTCTACTACATATGATGTTAGGAGCCGAGATGATTAATGGAGTAAATGCAGAGAAGTGGCAATTGATTCAACAAATTGGACAAAAAGTAAACAAATATACCATGTGGATGGTTTACAAGAATGTCTTAGAAAACTCCGATGAACCAATTGCAGTACCAGTGCGGTAAGTGTTCAATTATTATCGAGTTTTCTTTGTTTGGACCGTATTTTAACTGTAAATAAATCAGTAGCGGGTTTATTTGAAGACGCACTCTAAATCTGAAGGCACCATTCAATTCTACGTACTTTTCTACATAATAATCACCTTTTATAGTTCAGTGGATAATTTCTATCTCATCGGAATTTAACGAGCGCTTTTCATTGTTTAAACTGTATTCTGCATTTTAACCTTAAATAATTCAGTAATGGGTTTATTTGAAGACGCACTCGAAATCTGAAGGTACCATTTAATTCTACGTACTTTTCTACATAATAATCACCTTTTNTTTCGTTACAGTTTTAAATCTTATTCGAGTTTTATCAATCAAAAAAAATTCTGTGAAAACCTTGGATACAAATTTTCATTTATTTGGGTATTAAAATTGTATTTGGTACGAATTTGTTTAGAAATCGTCATTTTTTTATCTTAAAAACTAAATTTCGTTACAGTTTTAAATCTTATTCGAGTTTTATCAATCAAAAAAAATTCTGTGAAAACCTTGGATACAAATTTTCATTTATTTGGGTATTAAAATTGTATTTGGTACGAATTTGTTTAGAAATCGTCATTTTTTATCTTAAAAACTAAATTTCGTTACAGTTTTAAATCTTATTCGAGTTTTATCAATCAAAAAAATTTCTGTGAAAACCCTTGATACAAATTTTCTTTACTTGGGTATTAAAATTGTATTTGGTACGAATTTGTTTAGAAATCGTCATTTTGGAGACGGTGACAAAATACCCTTTCACAAATATGGCATCTACAGTATAAAGTGGATGAACGAGCGCGATAAAGGCCTCCGAGACGCAAAAAAAGACACGGCTAAAAGGAGAAGCGTTTGCGACGAAGTGAACCAAATGTCCACTCAAAACAAGGTCTTCGCCCAGAAGCAGAGCATTGAAAGGAAAAAAATGTTATTGAACCAAAAAGAAGAAGAATTGAGGCGTCTTTCGAATCTGTTATACAAGGTCCAAACGAAGCAGAAAACGAGAAGGAAAGGTGATGACGAATTCGCAACGAACCCCTCAGCTTCCCCAGTCGATATTGACAACAGACTAAGAAGAAGTAAAACAGCGGCAGTTAAAAGAGGAGACAGGGAGATGGACGTACCGTTGGAATACATGGGACAACTTAAACGCAGGATTACCACCGCGATAACTAATCGAAACTCTGCCCAAAATCAGATATATTCTTTTGAGCAAATCCCCATGACGCCATTGTGCAGCTCCATGAAGACAGGACGAAGACGCGACTATCCTGATGGACATAAAAAACATGCAACACAAGGTGATAAGTTGAACGATATCAAAATTAAAAGGTTTATCGAGAGAATAGGATCGGCGAAATCCAGCGGCAGACCACAACAAGTTGATGTAGGAATGGAAAGGAGAGAATTTTCCACAATGGATAACAAGAAACCTGGTAAAATTGCCAGTAATTTACTGAAGAAACTACCCATCATCCAACGTTCTAGACGAAGTGATATGATTGCTTGAAGAAATTATAAATCCGAAAAAATTTAAGTAATAGAAAGAAAAAATAATTTTTGATTCTTATCAAGTGCAGTAATAGGTATTACAATGTTTTACTTATGCATATTAAAGAAATTATCAATTTAAGTATCAAAATTTGAATGTAACTTATAAAGTTGTTGCGAAGAACAAATGTACACATGACATTTAAAATATATTTTTATACTAAAATTTGTCTTCTTAGGTCTTCTATAATGTTGAGAGTACAGTTTTTATTATTGTGATTATTATTTATACATTTTTGATGTGGAATGCAAAGTTGCAAATAAATCTGTATTCTTCAGTCATGATAAATTTTATGTGTTCATTACGTTTCTGTTTAAATTTACTTCCACTTTGTCCTATGTAGATAACTCGTGCGCTTTGAGTTACAGTACTTGAACATTGCCCACTGTTGTAGTTTGATTTTTATATTTTTTTTTTTGGTTTGAATCCGAAGTGGTCTTTTTTGTAAATAAAATTTGTCTGTTACACTTTTTAATTAAGATAAGCAGTTTTAAAGAAATTAATAAGTGTTTTTTTTTTGAAAATGACACCTATACATATACAAGTAAGAAACTATGCCCAATAGTTAAGTATGATGAACTTTAAACTTTTCCTTATCGACCCAAAGTGTGTTTGATACTAGCGACTGTTTATTTATATTATGTTTGTACACAAAAATATAAAATTTATAACAAATTTTTGTTGACAAGTCCAGATGTCATATAAACAAAAATAGTTATTTTACGAACGATAAGGACATAAATACGAAATGAAATTAATTATAACAGAAAATCTTAACGTTATTTAGCGCAAATGTAATAAAATTCTATAGCAGTTTTTTATTTTATTCAAAAATTTTTGAAGGACCTACATATAAGTTATTAACATCTTCCAAGTGCGCGCTACTTTTATAATAATGATTTAAATAAATACTAGTGACCCGCCCCAGCTTGGCACGGGTGCAATGCTGATAGTAAATATATTTTTGTTTTGTTTAGATTATAATCGAAAAGGGGAAATCTTCAAAAGATACCCCCTGAACATACTAAATATACTACAGAATGTCTTTATATACAACATTCACAGTTTTTTTATCATTAGACAATACAAACCGGCCTCCCGGCCGGTACCGCCGCAACCGCTATGTCCCTGCATTTTAAATCTGTAATATCTNTACTAGTGACCCGCCCCAGCTTCGCACGGGTGCAATGCTGATACTAAATATATTTTTGTTTTGTTTAGATTATTATCGAAAAGGGGAAATCTTCAAAAGATACCCCCTGAACATACTAAATATACTACAGAATGTCTTTATATACAACATTCACAGTTTTTTTGTCATTAGACAAAACAAACCGGCTTCCCGGCCGGTACCGCCGCAACCGCTATGTCTCAGCATTTTAAGTCTGTAATATCTTCGAAAATATTCATATAAATTACATGCTGTAAAGGGCCATATTGATCTATACTAAATGCACAATGTATTTAAAAGTACTTAATTGGATAAGAATTAATGCTGTATTGTCTACAATCGCTTCGTAAATAAGCCATTATTTCTCGTAAAAAGTAAAGGATAAAAATGGTTATTGTGGGTTATCCCTAAGAGATAGACATATACCATCCCGGAGTTTTTTGTAGACCCTTTTAAGATGTACAATATTGTAGTACATTATTTTGATCATCTCGTAGAGTTCAGCCAGCGTTTGCAATGTAAGCCCAAAAAATGTGTTTATTTACGACATGACATTAGAAACCTCTAAAATTATCAGTGTTTCCCTACTATATTATGCATGTATTATACATATAAACCTTCCTCTTGAATCACTCTATCTTTTAAAAAAAACGCATTAAAATCCGTTGCGTAGTTTTAA